CCTTTCGCATTCGAGCAGTTAAAAAAGGTGATTTCGACCTGGCCTATCCTCGAGTTTCAAATCCACCTACTTGTAAAAAGAATAATAGAAACCAGGGACGCATAAAAAAGTTTTGCCATGAATAGTAATCGAATGTATGCTGATCCAATATATCAATATCATAAATTGACACAAATAAATAATTCTTTGAATAGACGTCAGTTTTAATTAGAACGAGACCTACCGCTGCGAAACTTACGTCACAAATGAATGATCGAACAACGAGCGCAATACGTGCACGCGTAGCACGGAGTGCTATCGTTCTCTCTGGTCTCGGACATTTAATCGAGAATGATTCAGCTACCTATCAACGCGTCAAGTAAACATTGCCCGTCCGTAGCGAATCTGACAGCGGCGCCGAAAGGTTTCGCCCGCTCCGCTCGTCCTCGACGTGTGTCTTCGATAAATTCCAATGAGAGCTGCTAAACTCTCTGAGGAAGAGAGTACATACTTCGTTTTACGACTCGACACCCACGTCTCGTCTCTATGCGTACGCACGCACGCTTGCGCGTCCGCGCGCTCACCGAGTGGCGCACACAGAGATCCGCCGGTCGTGTATTATCGGCTCGTAACCGCGTCTACGTTCTACACAGAGCACGCGCTGCGTTCAATGTAAAGCGTTAAAACGCTACGTGATCGAATTCGACAAGCGACCGGACACGCTCGCCACTCCGAGCCACCATTTCGCGCTCGCCAGACGGAATATCAAGCAGAGAGATCGTTAGAAACGTTTTAGAATTAACGTGTGCACGCCCTCGCCTCTTTTGCCCGGTTCCAGTGCGCGTCGCGCCGATTAGAATGGAACGCGATTCCCCGCTCGGTGAAACTTGGTTAATGGAAATTAGCCCGAGCTCCTTGCCTTCTTTTGGCCAGCGATGCTGAATCATAATGCATCGGTCTCACAATCAATTTATACCATCCTATATCCGTGATTAAAAATCAAGTGTATTAATTAACTGGTAACTGAAGCTCCTCTGAATCAGAAATAGCCAACGAGTCGGCCACGATTAATAAATATCATTAATAAAGTATGATGTTGGCTTAATAACCCCTCTCATAACGTCACTTATTAGTACACGAGACACATGTTTGAATGTATTAAACGTCAGGATTCTAGTAGGTAGATCGCGGCGCGTTTTTAAGAAAAATTGGTCATACGACATAGTGAGCTTTGCTCTAAATAACGGAATTCGAAGAACCAATCAATAGACATCGCGGAACGTGTTCTTTATTAACGACATTCGCGAGCCGTATCGGGAACAAGAGAACAAATCCCTTCACAAAGGATCCAACACGCCTCTCGCCGTGCCACGCCACGGTGCATTGAGAAATCGCATTCATTTCGTCTCATTGGAGACGAAAGTCATCTTTCGAGAATTTACGGAGGTGTCTGACTATTACAAAACTCCTGGCCTCCCTCCCATTGACATAACAACGAGCACGTAACAAGGAACAGCACTGGATGCTCTCGATCAGACGTCGTCGTCGCGCCGCGCCGGCTCGTTTTGAATAGTTTCCCACAGGCGTGCGACGACGGGGAAAAATCTGCGGCGAGATCGAACGTCCACGCGTTCCGGCTGGTAACGTCTATGATTCACCGAGGCCCGAGCATAAAGGGTAAACGAGGATGGGAAGACTCATTATCGTCGAGCTAGGATCGAGGAGTTTAACGTGACTCCACGAAATAATCTCTCGGGCCAACGCGGGCGCGTTAACGCGAAATCAGGCGTTCCGATCGTGAGACGCGAAAGAGAAGCAGCACGTCGCCATCGTCCGATGCCATTTCGAAGCGAAACCCAGTAGGCAGAGGGATCACCTTGATCCCTGAAACGTTAGGCTAGGCTCCTACGTATTCTCTGCATAAAACTATCTGTCTCCATCGGCTCACCGCGACGAGGTAGGTTCACCTCGCGGATCGGCTCGAGCCTCTCGCTACCCGTATCGCGGAATTAGATTACGTATCTCTCTCGCGTTGGCCCCGTGATTTATTCATCGTTCGCCGGCCTCCCCGAGGCGTGCTGCGGTTTCAACACCTTTTGACGCGTGTATTTACGATTATGAGAATTACACAAGGCAATTAGAGCCGGCCAGGCCGGTATAAATACGAGTAATTGTGCGCAGCGACCGCTTAAATTACCGGCAGCTCCGCGGCGGAAAATCGGATGATGCGCGCTACGCCGAGAGGATCCCTACGATCTCGTATAATTGCAACAGTATTTTACGCGCTCTCGTGATTCCACGGTATGCTATGACTTTGTTACAGATTCGTTTGAATAATGTAGGAAGTCGGACGAAAGGTGAGACGATGAAAATAGTAGAGCGATATAAAAGCAAGTACGTGTTTAAAAGAGTAAAGTTAAATTTAGAAATTAGAACTATTTGGAGAAATTGTAAAAATAGGTCGTCAACTTCGAAACTTCATCGATTGTTCATTCGTGACGATATTTGAAAAATAGAATCTAATATTTCTAACAAATTTCGGGCGAGGATGCAGCACTGCGCGCCGTATCGTGGGAATGAAGAAGCCGTGCTCGCAATTCGATTCCGTGATTGCGAGGCGGATCTCGGCCGCGCTTTAGGAACGATTATTGCGCTTTAGAACGCTACAAAATTGCACACGCATCGTGATCTCGCTGCTACGAAAAAAACTCGAAGAGCATCGAGGCGGAGAACGAAAACACGGTTCGGTCGATGGTTACCGTTTCAACCCGAGGAGCATCGCGGTGAACACCGAGGGTGAGGCATCTCGAAGCGAACCACGACGCGGATCTAGCTCATTTTCACCTGGGGTTACCTTTGGCACACAATCATCCGCCATTAAGGCCGTCTGCAAAAATTTCGAAAACACCGGAATATCCCTTTACAACACGGGGCGATCTTGTGGTACGCGCATAACCCGTCCGCGGCTCGGGTATATCACGAATAGCCCCGTGATCTCGCGGCATGATCTTTCAAGATCGAGAGTAACAGTCGGGCCGGAGAAAGAGGGGAAACGCGAAGGGGCGAGACACAGAGGGAGAGAACGAGACGATGGACAGTAGAGGAGGAAGAAGACGAGCGAGAGGACCGACAACGAGTGCTAGATCTCGAGCAACGATCGGAGATCATCTTCCCTCTTCGACCGGCTCTTATTCTCGTCGTAGGAAGGGGGCGGCGGGGGCGAAAAGTACGAGAAGCGCGTCGCTCCCGCCGCCATTATCAAATTATTCACTCACACCGAGTGCTATCTATCTTCGAGCCGCGCGATCCAAACGTGTTATTATTTGATCCTCACTTTGTTAGCGATCTGACTCTAACAGCCTCGCGATATGTACCTGTACTGGAGATCCTGCTCGGTGATCTGGAGTACTTCTCACGATCTCGCGCCACCATGAGATCTCGAGACCGGACCGACGCTTTCAGAGCCGAGTACACCGCTCGCTCTGCCGAGAGCTAGAAGCTGTTCGACGCGAGCGACAAAACAGAAACTAACTCGGAGCTAACTAAATCGGAAATAGCCGAGGAATTTCACGCTACCCGAAATGTCGAACAGCATAATCGACAGGTTACAGGAGAGAACACGAGAGGCCAAGAGGGTCCAGGGGTTAACGGATGTACCGTTTCGGTTTCGACCGTCACGTTCCACTGTTTATCGCGTGCGTGGAGAATCTGCGGGGGTACGGAAGGTGAATCTCGGCCGACGGCGATGTGTTCCACGATGATTCCGTTTTTCGCGGGAATCGCCACGAGCGAGACGGGACGAGAACGGACGGGTCGCAAGAAACTCCGGTCGAAGCCGGGGCAACAACAAGGGCAGCGAAGGGAACGACGAAACGTGTGCTCGCATAGGGAATCGGGCATAGATAAGTGGTACTTATGCCGCTTAATACTCGAGTGTGTGGATGAGTAGTCGGTCCTGCACGCGATCCTCGCGTCGGCCTTGGTCTTTCCTGACCCCGCGCGTTTTGCTAGAACCAATTTCCGCGGATAATACGAGCGTCATGGAAATCTACAACATTCCTTCGACATACCCCTTTGCCTAGCAAATGTGAGTCGTACCGAATTACTGAACTCCTGCTCACTGATACCGAGAGTAGAAGAAATTACGAATTAATATAGTAATTGACATATTACTAACGTTCATAAGTGTAATTACAAAAAAATCTACGAGATTGAATGAAGCACGGTAGCTCTGCGGTTATCGTTGCATCGTGCATAGTGAATTAAGGTTAATGTCGTGCATCTCGTCGCGAAGGGCAAAAAAAGAGTTAAACTTGCGACTTCTGTTCGAGCACGCGGGAAAGTGAAAGGAGAACGAAGAGCCGCGTTGAAGCGACGCGAAACCAAATAATCGAACGTTTACGTAGTTGAGCGTAATTGCTCCGAGCGATGGGAGCCGTAATCTTGAAACTCGTTAAAAATCGCATCGAACAGCGTTACTCGCGTCGTCAACTGTGATTACCCGTGTTCCATGCGAGAAATCTTTTGGGATTGACTGTATAGCCAATACATCCTTAATTGTAAATACGGGATATATTAAGATAAAAATGTGTTAGCAAATATAATTCGTGTATAAGTAACTTTAGGCGATAAATAAATGGGTAATAAAAACAAATTTTCCCTCGATTCTCTGAGAAACAAAGATATAGAATCGAATGGCATAAACTCATATTTCGCACTATTTTTGCCTACTATCGATATAACAGAGAAAGACACGTTGAAAATGTATTACTTGACGGGAAAATTTGTTTCTCACGCAAGGGTCGAGCGAGCCGTGATTCGAATCGAGCCGCGATCGCAGCACTCGCGGGCATCGATCGATAGACAGACAGCAATCGTTTCCGCGACAAAAGACAATCACCAGAACCCATTACCATTCGGTCACAAAAAAATAGCTTCCGCGAAATTTTCAGTAAAATATCGAAATTCTTTAGTTACAAGGAATCCCATTCCTAAATTACACAGTTACGTGCGCATTTATTATGCCTCTTCCCTACGTGAAGAATCCTATGTACGCACTTTGTCTCTTGGCGGCAGTTTGCGTACGACAGCATGTCCACAATAGCAGGTACGATTTTTCACTACCCATCAGGAAGCCGAATACGCGTCGCGAACGAGTCAAAGTTATTTCTTGTTCTGATTATTTCTATAATTTGGTGTTCCGCAGAATCGAGCAGCCATTAACCAAGGGCATGACGTTGCAAACCCCGACGTCTGTAGTGACGAAACCTAACGAAGCGAGCTTGAAAACGATCAACGCGAACAAAAAAATCAGTTCCGAGAAGCTAACAGAGAATCCGAAAGCTGTACAAGTAGAAGAGGCAGATTCCCTGGTCAAATGCGTGCAAAAATTCGCCAAGCATGCCCGACGGATCGTCGATGACTTTAAGTCGAGCATACCAGTGAGTAAACCAATCCCCGTTCCCACATGGAACCAAAGAACTAATACGTTATTGTGATCAAATAATTTCTACTCATTCAGAAAATTGTTTTGTATCTAAGGTTTCGAAGTCAACCGAATATGTAGATCTGTTTACGTCGTCGAGTATCTTAGATTCGTTGCTATATTTAACTAGCTACGGTGGCATTAAGTGGATGACATAACGTGTAATGCAGTACGAATTAGTTAAACTAGGGGAAACTGTTGCTTGACGGAGATTCCCGCGGATTTAGGGGGGATCCGCAAACGATCTTTGTCAACCGGCGGTAAACGAATCATTACGAAGTAAATTTCATTTTTTACTCGTCGGACGATTTAACGTATTCGCGTTGTTAAACATTTGATACGTTCCATTTCAGATACAAAGGGCCCTAGGTTCCTCGAAGGACCTTCCGCGTGAAGTTCAAACACATAAAATTATAAAATCGACTTAGAGTGCTCGAGTGCGGCGTCGCACGCTCGACCAGGCGCCAACGGGCTCGCGTACGCCGAACTCGAAAACTAGAAGTGTAACGCGCGCGTGGTGTATTCTTCACGCAGAAAATATTAACGTTGCAACGAATATAGATAAATAAATTCTCGTAACAAAAACTAGCGTGTGTCCCCAACAGTTTATTCCAAATCATAATTTCTCCTTCGGTCTCTAATCTCATCGATTAACACGATCTATTATTAATTCCTTTCGTTAAAATGACGCGATCCGTCACTTTGATCGAGAAAACTGATATTTATCACGGAGGAGCTTTTATCTCGCGATTCATCCGTTGGGACCGTAGATCGAGCAGATTTCCAAATCTCTACTGGATTATTCGTGACCTGACGAACGCTGGGGCTCATTTGAATTTTCCCGGACAGGATGCGCACCGCGTGCATTTCAATCCCCGGGGACACCCCGACGAATTATGATCGAGCGAGAGACGTCGTTCCCTTGTTTACTCGAGGGAACGAACGGAGAGCGAAAACGGGTACGCGAATGGTAGTTTAAGAGCGGTGGCACCCGGTATCCAGAGCACGTCCGGAACGCCAACAGAACTTATTGTCGTGCGCACGGCTCGCCGGGGCATTTTAATATTTCCGCTGAATGCAACCGAGAAGACGAGCGAACGTGGGGCGACGACGTGGAGAACGAAACCAGGAATAAAGAAGGTGGAAGGTAAGGAAAAAAGGAAACGGGTAGACCGGAGGCGAGGAATCGTTACGCGACACTGCCACTGGTCTTGGTTTTTCGACCCGCGTGACAGGTGGCTCGGCCACTCGAATCCTTTGTTTCTTTTTTCCCGGAGAACGGAGACTACTCGGAGACGACACCCAGCACCGTTTAAGAGAGCCTGGCGCCCCGAACCGCATAACGATACTTGAATTTAAATATTCACTCGACCGGCGTTCGAAATATATTACCGCTGGTTCGTTCCCTTCGTCCTTCTGTCAAACCGACCGGCGAAACGAGTTTCTATTTACGAATTTTTAAAAGCTTCCCGACAATTAGCATATTGCAGAAAGAATAATATCCTACTTGACACACTTTCCTAATTGTCATCAACTCTAAAAGATCCATAATTCTGTTATTTATTCTCTTCAATGTTTCCATTCACGGACTGAGACCGATCGATGAATCGATCCTACGTTTCCTAACAGAAATACGACAAATTTCCGCGGTTTCGCCGAAACGGTCGCCACAGGAAATTCACTCGAAGTCCCGGGTGACGGATGCTTTGCCGAGACCCACGGTTAATTCGCTGCGTGCGAGGCACACGTTATGCCCGAGTATATTTCACCGCGACCGGGAGATCTATCACTGGAAACCGCGTGCCCCACCGTCCCGCAACCGCCGTCCCACGGCGGCGAGTACCTGATGCACGATTCCTCGGTCGTCCCGACGCGACGCGCGACAAACCCCCGGGATAAATCGCGCCCGAGTCCAAACGCGTGTCACACGCGTTATCGCGCCCCCTCGACGCCGCTCCTCCTGGTGCAAATCGTCCTGGTAGCCCGATACATTTACATATTATGCGTGCACGGTAGCCCGGGCTGCTTCCCAAGCGCTACGGACTGACTGTTAATGTTTAACGCAGAGACTTTTCGGGTTTACGTGAGCAGCTTTTGAACTCTGAACCTTTTCGGGTTCGCCATGATTTACGATCCTATTCAGTATTCCAGGGAAAAAGTTGCACCTGTTTCGTTATTCCGTATATGGACCGGTCTTTCGCAGGTCTATGTGAACGAATTTCTATGTATAGACTATTGTACATCCGTCCACATAAAATAAATCTGCATTTTTGAAACTTTTATTATCAACATTATTTCTCTTATACTGACAGACTTTAATTACACAATTTTTAAAACCACATGTAGAACGTGTACTCCGTAAATTGAGGGACGGCTGTATGTGTTTTTAGATATTTTGAGAAATAAAAGAAATAATGAAAGATTCATAATCCGTTTATAAGGATTTACATTGAAACGAATCCAGAGAGGAGATTTCGTTTGGGAAAAACACGAAACACGAAGTATCTCGCGTGAGGGTGGTGATTCACACCGGTTCAACGAGATATCCGGATACAGCCGCGCGGAGGCGACTTCGTTATGTAAGCAAGCGACCGAGAAAATACCGTGATTCTTGCAATTAGGTTCACCAATAGGGGACCGCTTTGATCGCGTGCCACGGAGCGCGGTCGATGCAATTCTTATTGCTACAATATAACAATTGCACCGTCCGTAGAAAAAGCGTGTTGCAACCCGGCCTGATACGTGCATCCGTTGCTTGAACTTTGATTAGAAAAGTTTAAGCAACCAGTTTCGTGCAATGAGGATCTCCTCATTCTCAGGGAACAGAGTTGCATAATCCGTGGATTTAAATTTCGTAAAAAATCGTGAGAGAGTAAATAACAGAAATCGCACTAGTAGTTGGTAGACTTTAATCAAGTCGAAACATTACAGCATGCACAGCACGTGTCGATAGTCTCGTCACAAACGTTACAGAGCTTGTGACTCGTGCGTTACGTAGGTCTTGCCTTCTCTACTGAATGCAACAAAATTCGCCTTACGAGAGCTTCGCGTTCCCCCGATTACGAAACCCGTCCGCACACGTGCTCCGCGGACGACGAAAGAACGACCGCCTCGTCTCGTCCAAGGAAAATGAACCTGTAAATGACTTTCACGGTTGCTCGAGACCATGGAACAAGATAAACGGGCTCTGGCTTCGTTTTTTACTCCGTACGTATTCCCTAGACTCGAGTAAACCTTCGATTCCTCGAGTCATCGCTCGGATCGAAACGGCTCGGAGTCCGTCACAAGGGGAGAGACGAAGCGTCTCGCCCGGTGAAAGAAGGCGGGAGAGGAGAGGACCGTATCTTGCGTAGACGTCTCGCATCACCGGATGCGCGTGTGCCTCCCTCGCTTCCGGTCGTGAGCCAGAGACTCATTGCCATGCTGGTCGCCACGTCTGCCCCCGGAATATGAAAACGAAATCATATTCCTCGACCACGTCTTTCTTCGATCGGCTCTTTTATGTCCGTTTAACGTCGATCCCACAGACGAGACGCCGATGGTTTCACACGAGTCTTATTATTCGTCGGAGAACGTTGCTCGATGCGTTTTGAAGTCGACGGACGATACGACTGATAATTCGAACTTCTGCGGGTCCCTTTGCGTAACGAGTACCGACGTCCGATAAAATACCTGTGGAAGATTGCTCCACAGGTCTCGAGCGCGAAATCGTTGGATTCTATTACGGGGAAGAAGCGTTGCCGTTTAGGTTGACGACCGAACCAAAAAGGAATCACTTCGCCAGGGCAGCGGGCACGGTTTCTCAAGATCGCTCGTTAAGCCGGCAAAACCCACAACCACGTAATTGCAGCGATCATACGTTAGTTAGGTTAATAACTTTGCATTATAAATGTATTAAGCTCAAATCCAATTACGTCGGGTTGCGGGATCCGTTGCGAGATCCGCTGCCGGTCTAACGTTGATTTCTCTCAGCGCGGCGATTAATAACTCGAAATCGAGGCTACGCCGAGCGAATACACAGACGGAGGGGACGGACGTGCGAGATTTTAGCACGGAAATTAGCTATTCGTTCACACGATCGGAGAAGCCTACGGATGAAATAGATATCTACTGTGCCCAGTTCGTTCCTATCTCTTCTAATTCATTTATTTAGTTATTAATGATAACATATATGTAAAATGTCACAATGAAGAATAATAATAACTGAGAGTATATAATATCGTTCGGTCAAGAATGATTCATATAGGAGAAACAAAATATCCGCAATTTTCAGAACGGGAAGATTACTGAAGTACATTAATGAAGATATTAAACGGAAGGGGTCCGATGTAAGTAATTCAAGAAGAAGAGTTGAACGATGTTGCCTACGTGCACTTTGGCATTAAATCTAAATCCTACGTCAAACACAGGAAACTTTTATCGGAATCATGATTAAGGAAAGTAACTCCATAAAAAAGATATAATAAGTACCATTCCTTGAGAGATCAATAAATTTTATTTCCAAACGCGTACGGGTAATTTAATTTCAACCTCCGTTAGCAAAATACATAAATCTTGTTTAATCCAATTTATAAGCAATTGCGTTACGGCAACCGTTGCTTCGAATCGTTGCTACGAACACCTCGAATGTTTACAAGTTACACCAGTTTAATTGCCGGTTAAGTAAGAGGAGCACTTTCCGCGTTAGTGACTCGACGTCCAGATGAAAAATCCAGCAAACGCGCGGCCCGACTGCGACACACTGGCCCGATAGGGTACTTTCGAATATTTTCCGCAATTTGCAATCATGAACGCCCAGTGCACGCGATGCGCATCTGGTGCGTTCGAACGTCACGCTCTCCAGTGATTTGAACGGCTGTCAGACCGGCGCGACGCGAGCAGCGATCTTTCCCTACGCGGCAGACCGGAACAAAGTTTGCTCGGGTTTTCTCACATTTTCTATGTGTAATCGAGTTTACATACTGTCATTAATGATCATCGCGGGCAATTCGATAGAAAAGAGAAAATTAATTTGACCGGCGAGTGAAACGGACGACCGTTTCGTTAGGAAATTTACTTTCGTGGAAGCAATTTCTAGAGAGGTGTACGGCGTTATAAATAATATAAAAGTATGATATATGGTCACTCGGCGATCGGTTAAAACGTCTCTAATGCAACT